AAATGCAGCTTCTCATTGTCACCTAGAAAATTTTGTCAAAGTATCTTAATAAACAATTAGTAGCGACGATTAGGCTTCATTTATGAATAACACAGATCTAACTATCATAGTGAAGACCTACTGTTTTGTTTTGTAATACCATAAATTTTTTTGGTAAATATTTTAATTAATAACTTATGATTACTTGAAACAAATCTTAAAATCTAAATATTTTTCTTTCTATTATTAAATTTTCGAAATTCGTTAAACATTTTGCAACTTTACTTACCATTCAGTATATAAGTCAGCTTGAATTTTTTTTCTATTCTTCATCCAACAAAGATTTTATATGTTTAAAAAAAAGTAATACATATTGAATATTCTTTTCTTCAAGCTGCACCATCATCACCTAGGTGAAAACATATTGCGTTTCTTTCTATTTACAAATGTCTGAGCAGTGTGCTATTCAAACATGTATATGTATATCTCGAGCTTTATATTATTATTGTAATCAACATCTTTGCTGAGGATATTTTATTAAACATGATGATTTAGTCAACTTTCAAATAAATCCTTTAATCGATTAGATCAATAAATTCGGTAAACGACTTACAATAGTAGATATTGATTAAATTCTCGATTGTGCTCGTGAAAAATTTGCTCAATGACGTATTGATTCTCATGAAAGAATTGATTGTTTTTATAAACAAAAATGTCAAGAACTTAATCAATATATTACAGAAAAATTAGACAAAAGACGAAAAGAAATTAATAAATTACATTCTGACATAACTGAATTACACGACAAACAAAAAAACTAGCAAACAAAATATCGATTTACTGACATCAATTACGTAATATTCTATTTTTCATATGTTTTATTTTCTTTGGTATAAAATAAAGTAAATTAAACAATCGAATAAATATTATTTCTCTACGAACAAATTATTCAAAACTTTTCTAGTCAAAGTATTTCGGTGATTGTGTCAAATCTACATGCTAAAAAATTGTACACATAGTACCAAAGCAGTGAGTAGAAGATATCAAACAGTTTTGTCATATGTAGGACAAGTATATATTTCAAACAGAAAGAGAATCGAATCAGATATGATTATAATACAACTTATATGTTAGTCAATGTTATGTTACAATGCATGAATTGTCTATAAAATAAGAGAAAGCCAAACATCCAGTGTAAACGAATGTGTTGAAAGAACTATGTAATAATTGATAAAAGAACACTTAATAAATGGAAATGTCTGTTACTTCTAATTTCTGTTTTATTTTATTTTCAAATGTTTAACCGAAAAACGGAAGTTCATTTGTGAGATAAACTCAAGAATGAGAATAAAGGTCAGGTGGTATTTTAATACAGTTAATTAACAAATTAGAGATTTACTATTTTGTTTCATTTGTCGTCGACTCGATTACAGTTTGTACTATTGAATCAAATAACCTATCAAAATAGAAAGAAAGAAATAGAATAATAATATTATATTTATTCGGTCAGACTATAAATCATCGTTATGTTCCAGATGGATAATAACAATTTGTATCAATCGGACTTCTATAAAGTAATAATAGTTTCTTTTTTTCTTCTATAAAATCTGTAATGATTAGCTTTCGTTATATGTAGACTAATAAAGGTAAATTTTCCTTAGTCATAATTTTTAATTCTTGATTATTCTCGTAAGTTGAATTTTTCTTAATAATAAAAACAAATAATGGCTTTTTTTTTCTTTAATTTATTCTCAAATTCATCATGTGTGTAGATTATTATTAAAGGTAAACAACAATTAAAAAATTAGCTATCGAAATTGAACTTCGCGGTAGAAAACAATTGAATGGTTTATTAACCTTCAAAGAAAAAAATGCTTGCCTTATCTTTCTTATTAAACATAAACATATTACCGGTTTTATCACTGTTCCTTTTTCTTTTTATATTTATTCAAATATATAACAAACGATATATTTTATTAACGATAACACATATTTATATTGAATTATGCAAAATCTTTATACATATATGGAGAATATACGATAGATACCTATGAAAATTCATGAGATGATTGTCAATGCCCTCAAATCTACGCTGAAATAGAAGTTTTTGAATAGCTGTCTTTTGCAAAAAAGAAAAATGTTTAATCGGAAGAAGATAAAAAGAAATAATACAAAAGAATCTGAACTTATTTTATAAAATACCCAATAACGAAATCGACATACATCGTAGTATCGTGGCAAAGTACGTGGGGAACATCCTTTTTTTAACAATTCTTTCGCTAAGAGCCTGATAAATGTTGCAATCGATCAATCGACCTCAGTTATAAATTGCAAAGTCTATCATCGATTTTTCTTTGTCTTTTATTAAATCAATTCTGTATCGATATTGATATGAGTGACAAATCTTTTGATGAATATAATTTAATTAATTCTCATATATCTATGAAAGACAAACTTTTATTTGTTAATATTATACGTTTTTTAGTTAGATGATTTCGTACTAAATATCAAGAACCTCGACTTATTTTATATCATCATCACGAATTTTCATTTCAAAAAATAGATATTTTAATTTACCTTTTTGTTTGATATGTACGTCATAAAATCATAAAATTATATATTTTAATTAAGACAGAAATATATTTTATTCATCGATCATATTAAACAGAGTAGAATCCTTATACATTCATATGAAGGCATGTTTTTTTAAGTACTCTGCTAAAGGTAGTAATCTGTTTAAAGGCATATCTACAATAAATGCGTTATTTAATATCGTACAAGTACTTTAATAACGATATTAATTTGTTAATAAACATACATGTAAAACTCGAAAAGTCGTTACGACTTTTCAACTATTCAATAGTCACCTGGGATGGTATTAGCTTCACCTCAGATGCCTCTGGTATTCCTGGGATGCTAACAGTCTCACCTTGGTAGCCTCTAGCATTCCTGAGATGCTACTAGCACCACCTGAGAAGTCTCTGGCATTTCTGAGATACTACTAGATTCACCTGAGATACTACTAGCATCACCTGGGATGCCTCTAGCATCATCTGGGACGCCTCTGGCATTCCTGGACTGCTACTAACATCACCAGGGGTGCTTCTGGCATTCCTAGGATGCTAATAGCTCCACTTTCGTAGCCACTAACATTTCTGAGATGCTACTAGCAGTCCAGGAATGCTACTAGCATCGCCTGAGAAGTCCCTGGCTTTCCTGAGATACTACTAGCATCACCTGAGAGGCCTCTAGCATTCCTGGGATGCTAATAGCCGGTGCGGGCGTTAGTTTGGGGGGTGGGTGTGGGTGTTGATGAAAAGGATACCCACTCCTACACCCTGCACCCGCTTTGACACTCACACCCGAATAGTTGAATAGTCGAACAGTTGAAAAGTCGTTGAATAGTTGACAAGTCGTTACGATTTAACGAGTTCTACACTACTGACTTTCGTATGAATGAACATTATGAATCTTAACGATAACAAAATAAAAAAAAAACATGCTGATAAAAGAACAGTATTCCTTGATGAGCATATTGAATGACTCATCAATTACATATTTTTTCTTTTGTCTACATTGTTGTCATACATTCATTATATTCTTGGCTGGCGAAAACGGTCATTAGAAAAAAAAAAAAAAAATATATATATATGTGTCTTTTTTAAGAAAATGAAAGTGATAAGTAAAGATGTATCAATCTGACATTCATCTTCTTGATCTACCTTATGAAATATTGTTCATCATCTTGAAGAAACTTAATAACATTGATGTTCTTTATTCTCTATTTGGAATTAAGAATGAACAGATTAATGCTTTAGTAGAAGATGATGTATTTACTAGCATTCTCAATTTTGTAAAAACGTCATCAATAGTTGATGACAAAATTGATCGATTTTGTACTTATATATTACCTCAAAAAACATAATTGTATCAGAAAACTCATTCTCGACACATATATGTAAAACTTGAAACTTGAATTCAATTGAGTTTTCAAGTTTCAACTTTCAACTTTCAAGTTGCAATTCAAGTTTCAACTTTCAACTTTCAACTTTCAATTCAACTTTCAACTTTCAACTTTCAATTCAAGTTTCAACTTTCAATGAAAATATAAAGATTTTGGAGATATTGATTCACTAGTGCAGATAATCTTTATATAGTGATTGACTTTGAATGCTGATCCATTCAGATATATATTCATTCAACTTATCAACCCTTGCTCGACAAAATTCAAAAAATAAATAACTGTTTCCTTTGTCTCCTACATGTCTGGAAAGGACTGGCTGCAAAAGGATTGATCGCGACGGGACTGATGGAGAAATGAGTGGCCACACTACGACATACATCACGTCGCAGCTGCTGTGGGTGCCGCGAAAGGACTGGCCACGCTACGACATACATCACGTCGCAGCTGCTGTGGGTGCCGCGAAAGGACTGGCCACGCTACGACATACATCACGTCGCAGCTGCTGTGGGTGCCGCGAAAGGACTGGCCACGCTACGACATACATCACGTCGCAGCTGCTGTGGGTGCCGCGAAAGGACTGGCCACGCTACGACATACATCACGTCGCAGCTGCTGTGGGTGCCGCGAAAGGACTGACCACACTACGACATACCTCACGTCGCAGCTGCTGTGGGTGCCGCGAAAGGACTGGCCACTCATTTCTCCATCAGTCCCGTCGCGATCAGTCCTTTTGCAGCCAGTCCTTTCCAGACATGTAGGAGACAAAGGAAACAGTTATTTATTTTTTGAATTTTGTCGAGCAAGGGTTGATAAGTTGAATGAATATATATCTGAATGGATCAGCATTCAAAGTCAATCACTATATAAAGATTATCTGCACTAGTGAATCAATATCTCCAAAATCTTTATATTTTCATTGAAAGTTGAAAGTTGAAACTTGAATTGAAAGTTGAAAGTTGAAAGTTGAAACTTGAAAGTTGAAACTTGAAAGTTGAAAGTTGAAAACTCAATTGAATTCAAGTTTCAAGTTTGACACTACTGTCTCGACACAACATATATGGAACATATTCTTCTTGCTGGTGATTATCCAAATTTGACTTATTTGGAACTTTTCAATTTCAAGCAGAAGATAGTTTGTTATTTTACAGGTAAGTACTTAATATGCTTTTACAGTAACAAAAAATGTAAAAGCATTGATTTACATTTTGTTTTTTAGATAAATCAGCATTTCAACATATTTTTCAACATCAGATAACAGATCTTATTCTTCATAATAATGATGAAAATCGTGTTGGAACATCATTGAAGATTTATAATAGAAATATTTATGCACACATCATAGATGTCTTTCAAAATCTACAGCATTTAACAATTATTAGATCATCATCTGTGGACGAATATCCACCTTTTTCTCTATCTTGTTTGCCATCAACTACATATTTCACTTCGACACTTACTACTTTATGTATTAATGTGCTTAGTTTTGATGATTGTATCTCTTTACTTGATGGTCGTCTCAAACAACTAACTACATTCAACGTTCAATTTTATTGTATCTTCAAGTATACATTGATCCCTATCAATATAGTGAGTTGATATTATTTGAATTGTTGTTTTAATTTAAGAAATAATATCTACGATAAAATAATGTTAATGTTTAATATTAACTTACATTACGATTACTAATTAGAATAGTGAATAGAGTATTGAAGTTTTGATCATTGTGAAACGATTAGAAATAGTTAGTTGTTCTTGTTTTCCTATGAATCTAAATTGTTTGATAAATAATTATTAGTCACTCACCAGAATTAGTAATTCAAATAGTTGAAAAATGAGTATTTGAATGTTGCAACAAACAAAAGAAAAGATTATCTAGTACTTGCTTAGAAATTAACTTTTTAACTTGGTTTTTTATTTTCTTGAAATATTCAAGAAACAAATCGATTGGATTACGTTGCTGTTTTAGCAAATATATGAACTATTAATCATAAATATTTGTTTGAATACAGAAGGAAAACAATTTTCCTTGAATAATCAAATAAAAACTGCAGAATTTATGAATTTTATATATTCATCTCGCATTCGATCATAATAGCTCTGATATCAGAGTAATTTTAAGAAAACGAAGAGTATCATATAGAATTTCTTAGATTTAAAAAACATACTTAGAAATACACATGCAATATAAGACCACATTATCAAAAAGAAATGGCAATGTTTTAGATCATATCGATGAAAATATTTCCAAAAACAAATTTTTGTTAATTAGAAATGTCTATAATAATGATAGTTATACACTAGAAATTAGAATTATTTTATTTTATCATATTAAGGATATTTCATGCAGATTTCATAATCTATTTGAAGTTTAGGTTTTGAAAATTTTGTCATATTCAAGGAAATTGATTATTTTTCTATTGAACTCATCTCTAACTATTTTCAATTTGGAGAAAGTTTAGAAATATTGACTAAATATTTTAGATGTCATTATTGCATTTTATATATAATTCATTAAAATAGAAGAAATATTGAAGAAAATATTGAAAATGAGTTCAGCTAAAAAGATTACTTTCTCTACATTAATTTTTTAATATTAGTTCAACTTATAGATAGATATATTCTAAAGATATTTTTTATAGGGTTATATACATAATTTAAAGTGTTTCTCATTAACAAGTTATAATGTCTTTTGGGATACTAATGATTTGATTGCATCACTTCTCCGTCGTATGACTCATCTAGAAAAATTAACTTTATATCTTCGTATGGGAAAGAGTGGTCGATTGGATTCTAATACAAGTCCATATGTTGATGGGACATATCTTCAGAATGAAATTCTTGTTCTTATGTCTCAACTTCATACATTCAACTTTTATATTAGTACACAAACTCTCATTGATTATTCATGTTCTCGAATATCTAGTAATAATATTCAACAAACATTTAAAAATATAAAATATGAACAAACAGCTTGTATTATAGATTATTTTGGTGCAGTTGGAACTATATGTCATGTTGACTTACTTCCATTCACATTTACTCATCTGGAAATGATTACGACTCACTTTCCATTTATTTTATTTAATAGTGTAACTCACTTGTCTGTGTATGATTTCATTCCATTCGAACATGAATTCTTCATGCAAATTAGTCAAGCTTTTCCATTGCTCAAATGTTTCTTTACAGAGAATTGGCGAATGTAATATGGCAATTATAATGATTATTCATCATATTCAGTTATTGAATTTACTCATCTAATATTACTTGATTTCAAGCGTGCGAAAAACAATTATATTGAACAATTTCTTTTGGAAACAGACACATCTACCACATTTAACTTACTTAAAAGTCAATTATTATGACATAAAAACTGTAACAATGAATTTTACAAGCGATGCAATGCGTCGTAATTGTTCTAAGGTGAATCAATTAATTATTGAAGAGCCAATAACATTTTCAAAAAATCTTTATCAATATTTTCCTTCATTGAAAATTAAAGTCTATGTTGATAGGTTGAATAAAAATAAATCATGTAAAAATTCTTATATTCTTATAAGAAAACAAAAAATGAACAAGAAATATGAATTGATTTTAATTAAGTTTTATGATATATAAAAGATACTATAACATTGGAAAACTTTTCTTATTGTTTCATTGGTTTGGAGTGTGGATGTCATTGTAAATGAAAACAAGTCTCATGCCCACGTGCACAGTTGCATCCCTTTTTATGGACCCACTTCAAGTGGGAAATAACTCGAATTTTTTATTAGTTTGAAAACATGTACAGAAAATCAATCTAATTATTAAACCGAACTTTCTTCATGAGAACAATGTATTGCGAGAAATGCCATAGTTGTAGAAATAGGTTTTGATCATCTTGATTGTGAAGTGAACTAGTATTCCTTGGCCATTAGCGATACGGATAGAAAGATTTTGAAATATTTTTAATGATTCGATTAATTGACACCTCTTTTGCCTCGATCAATTATGAATTACTCTTTGACTGTTATCTATCCGATCAATTTCCAACAGTCATGGACGAATCAATATTAATGAGTTAATATATTGTGCTGAGTGCGATTTAAGATCACTTTAGCAGATGTTTATATATCCGAATTCTTTATATTATCATTACTGACTTTTTATTTATGTTAATTCATCAAGAAAGTCATTTGATGAAGAAAAATTTTGTAATACACATGTCATAAGTATAAAGAGCATGTTGAACATGTTGTTGTAATACTTCAGTTATATTGTTTTGATTGTAGAACATAACATGTTCGATATGAACGATACCCTGTAGAATTATTTCTGTTCCCAATTCTTCAATCAGATAAACTAGTCCAAGACAATTAACATGAAAAAATAGGTTTTATTAAATGTTGTATATCGCCAACGTTTGTTTCACTAATTATCGGAATGATATTGCATACCAAACAAAAAACTATATAACATTAAAATTCAGATTTTTTTTGCTCTGTTTTCACTTTGTGTGCTCGTAGTATAACAATAATGGACGATTCTCAATCATTTGAATATATATATTAGTATAAAATACATACAAACGTTGGATAAGAACAAGACAACATAGCTACGCATTGTTAGTTCATCAATACAAGTACTAACTATCATTTATTTAAAAGATAAATCGAATATTTGAGATATGTTTAGAAGCTCTAACATGACAATATTATGCAAAAAATCGATAAGCTACAAAATTTGAAAGAAAAAGAAAATGTTTGGAAATATTTTCTTTTTGAATCTTTTTATTATCCTTATAAAATTCATTGCAATTATGTATACTTTTCCGACTATAAATAATAGGTTATCAATTTCTGTTCTCATATCATGAACTTTTCTGATTAAATCAGTATTTTTTTCTTGTTTATGTCTGTGTTATTTCTGATCAAAATGAGTCACTAATGCTTCTATATCATTACTATTACCGATAATATTTTATCGTTTTCGTGATACACTTACGTTCAATTCTTGTTTCAAATAATACAACACTAGTAATAGGAATATATTTTTATATTACTTATTCATTTAATAAAATAGAAGATTATTACTTCTGTTTGATAATAACTTGATTGTGTATAAGTAAACGTTCTTGATAAGACTTCTTGAAATTCTTGTAATAAGGATTGTTTTACAACTTGACTACTTTTAGTTTTTCGACTATCGGTTGTAACAAGAAATAGTGAACCGGACCGAAAAATAAAATCGTTATCCAAATAAACATGATTGAATAATTTTATATAATGGATCTCGTTTTGGTTTAACATCACGATACAGTTATAAATATTAAACTGTTGATTTTGATATGACAGAAACGATTGCAATCGAGTTTATTAAATGAAAGAGAATATTGAACGTAATAAAAATTTTCTTTATAGTACTCTTCCGAGACATTTTTGCATATATTCTTGTCACACACCTAATTCTGGAATCATCAAGTAGGGTCTATTCACACAAGAACACTGAGTATGAAGTCACAACTGATGCTTGATCAATATCGATTCTGTTTTGATGATGATTCCCTTGTTGTCGTTGATTTCGCATGTCTGATTGATTACTTGAATAGGTTGCAGCTGGCTGATTGGATGAAGGGCTCATATGTGAAATAAAAACGAAAATTCCATTACCAGATGAATATCATATTATTCATGGTAATTAAGAAAAAAATTTTTAAATAGATACTTCAATTTATTTTCATTAACAATGAGTAAGTGTTAGATACTATGCGTTGAATACTTGTGAAAGAAAATTGATGACGAAAAAGAGGGAGTATTAATTTACTTGTTTTTCTATCATCATGGATTAATCTTATGATATCAGTACTAATAAAAACTGGCAAACATATGAAGGAAACAGAAGATCTGTACAGTATACATAGAAAAGACATAGCCGATAGAATAAACAGAAAGTCATAATATCTAACAGAAGAAGGCACATATTTTACATATATGACTAGACTTAATTACTGTATAAAATTGTGTTTATAAACTAGAGGTAATTAACGTGCGATGCAAAAGTAATGACACAAATGTCGATCCTTATTGTTTTCTCATAGACACAAGTCTGAAAAGAAATTTTTTTACCATTTGATAGGAAATTTTCTCCTCTTTACAACGATATATGACTAATTTTTATTAGAGATGCATAATCATAATGACACGAGAAGAAATAGAAATGTTCTAATAGTTCTAGATCTTTGCATATTTCACAATGACGATATAAAAAAATGTCGACTATTATATCTCTTCTTTAAATACGTGTTGAGCTGATAATTTTTTTATCAGCTGTTAGGAAATTTTCTCCTCTTTCAAACAATATATAATTTGTTTTTATCACGCCTTCATAAACGCAATGACACGAGGGAAAAGAGAAAGTTCCGTACAAGAAATTTCTGATACTTTCATTGATTTATCGAAGAAATCCTATAAATCAACTTAAATACCGAGTGAAACAGTTTTGGTTTTATTAACAGAGAAAGTGTAGGAGAATAACTGGAAAGTTAAAAATTAAAATTTATTGGTCTATAGAATCAAACAAAAGGTCAAACAACTTAGTATAACTATTACAGGCTATGGTTCAAAGTCTTCGTAAGAATCATCGTCGCATGTGACGTGATAAACTATATTCAATTGTTAAATAAAGATTTTCCATTCTTCATTTTTTTTCTAATAAAAAACGAATTTTTTGTTTGTTCACTAATAGGTGGTAGCTGCTGATATATCTGCTACCATTTTAATATCATATTCGAGTTGATTTACAGGATTTCTTCGATGAATCAATACAAGTATCAAAAATCTCTTGTGCAGATCTTTCGTCTTTCCTTCGTGTCATTTCGTTGATGAATGTATGCTAAAAAACAAATTATATATATGGTTCGAAAGACGGGAAAATTTCCTATTGATTGGTAAAAAAAATTTCTTCCAACACTTGCATCTATGAAGAAATAATGAGAATCGAAATTTCTGCTATTACTTCTGCATCATATGTTATTTGAAATATACAAAAGACAATGTCAGTATTGGATAAAAAGAAAGATAACAAGTTAGATATAGAAAATATACATATCCTTCTTTGTTTATCCATGCTTTTGATTTGTAGAAATTGATTAAATTAATGAATATAAAGTTGCATTTGATAAATGTAAATTAGCTAATCGTCAAAGTTCAATCGAAGACATTTTTTCTGTTATTGATAGTATGCATCATTCAATGAATTTTGAATAACAAAACGACATTTCAAACTAATTTTATCTCATCATCATAAGTTTTGACTTTGAAAAATTGTTAATTAGATTTTAAAAAAGTATTGGAATTTTTTTTTTTTGTATATATATTTTCAACTAATAAAAATATTTATTGCAATAAAATAAATAAGCCTTTATGCCATAAATACAACAGTAATTTAAGAAAAGTACATCTTATGTTTTTTTTGTTGATAATTTACATGAAAAAAACAAAACAAAAATTAGATATCATATATAACAATAAACATATACATTAAACAAAAATATTTGATAAAAATTATATTCTAGAAAATATAATTTTTATTACGATTTTTTATTGATGACGATTGACTATTTTCATGTTTATTTGTACAACAATACTTTTTACCACAATAACCAAGACAACAAAGAAAACCAACACTAACTGTGGCATAACCACCATATCTATAAAATTATATTTTCATTCGTTTTAGAATTCTCTATGTAAACAAAAAATAAATTACTTACTTAAGTAATTTTCGTTGTGTTGCAGGTAATTTATCGTACCATTGTATAATGGTAAATTTTTGATTTTGACTTTTTCCATCATGAAATTCATATTTTTCTTTTCGGGTTATTGGTGATGGTGGATCCTAATTTTGAAGAGAAAATAATGTAGAAAGATATGAAAATAAATCAATTACTATATGTTGATGTTCCATATTCAAGGATTTTCCAGTTGATTCACCTTCAGAAAATATTCTAATAAGAAATTGACCTTCTCTATCTTGTTCATATGTTGATGGTATTAATATATAATTTCCAGGTTTTACACGAAATCTTCCTGTAACTTCACGTTTAGTAATATATGGTCCTGCAAAGAAGAATATTTTTGAATTGTTTTATTTTTATTTATTTTTTTTGATTAATTACCTGTATCACCTTGTCGTTCAAGATCTTTTGGATAAAATTTATAATCTTGTGTAATTTGTGATACATCGATTGAATCTTTTATCTATCAAAAAAAAAAAACTATTCGTTTGTATTTTTAATAAATTTAATATAAAAACTCACTCTATATAAGCGTAAATTAATATATTCTTCAGCTTGTTGTCCAGCTGTTTGTTGTCGTTTTTGTCGAGTATATTTTTGTAGACAAGAACATATTACTGTACATAAACCATCACCACGTTCAATATCAGTTTTTGTTACATTAATTAAATATTGAGGATTGATAAAAAAATTTTCTATTAATAAATCAAAACATTTTGTTTGCAAAAAAAAAAAACTTTAAAAAAAGAAAAAAATTTTATTAACCAATGTTTGGTTGTCCACATCCACCAGCTGTTTTTCCTTTGATCCAAGCACCATCAAATTGTGTTTGATGCCAAGTAATATGTTTTCCCTTTCAAATGATCAAATAGTATGAATAATATCAATATGCAATTTTCTACACGCATACCTGTTGCATTGTAAGTTGTCCTTGGAATGAATCAGGTGAAAGATTACAAATTTGTATTTGTTCAAACTGTTTTAACCAATCTGAATAGGGCATCCTAGATTAAAATTGACATAAAAATGTGCTAATTGTGATCATTCTTTTTTGTTTTTTACCAAAATTCACCATCAGCTTGTTTTTTATAACGTAATTGTTCTCTGGTATATGGATCGACTGTATTCCAATGGACTTTATCTCTAACATTGACAAGAAATTATTGCTAAAAGATAATTAAATTATTTTACTCATCACTCCAAGCACCCCGCCATTCGACTTCATTACCCCATGGGTTTCGACAACGAATTATTTGAACGACTTCACCGTTAGTAAGTTTAACGCGAACAGCAGCTGTTACAGCATAAGCATGACCTTTTACTAGACCATTCGGCATCTTAGCTTCACGCTCGATTGGATCTGGCTTGAAAATTCATGTTAATAAAAAAAAAAGAATGAGAACTTAATTAGCGATCAAAAAGAAAATAATTGAAATCAAATAAATACCGAAATAGAACAACCAATCATTGCATCATGTTTCAATGCGGTTCCTATTGTTTGCCAAAATTGATCTTTATCTTTGATATCCTTTGTATTGAATGATTCTTCTATTCCTCCTAATAATAACAATGATTTTTGTTTAATAGTTTCATAGAAAAAGAAAAAAAAATAATCACCAGTCATATCGATTAGAGCATCAGTAGTTTGTCCAGCATCAGTACCTTCATAAGAATAACTCAATCTGCAATACAAAAGTATTTAATTATATCATTTCATTAGGTGTTATTTATTCGTATCAAATGATAATACAGTAAAGTTCAATCTTATCAAATTACCATCAAAACAATTGAAACTTCAATGTCTATAATATTCTCTCAAATTCATCATATATTCAATTTCTTTTTCTTTCTCTATTACTATTTACGACTCGCATGAATAATGTAATTGCACAATATCAATAGGCAGCACTCTTATAATGATGAAATGCGTAGGTAGTTCTAATGGTTGGCAAATCATAGCTGTTCGCTTTCTTCGTAATATATTGGTGCGTATTTCAGTCTCTAACATTGAACATCCAGGTTCGATTCCTGGCGAAACTATGAGCGAACGCGCAATCCAACTGTTAGTTTTATTCTTCTTTGAATCAACTTACTTAGCATAAGCTTTTTCAAGTAAGGGAGCCCAAAATTCATTTGGTTCTTTAATATTTTGACAAAAAATTAAACGATTATTTATTGTTGGTAAATAATCATCAATAACAACATCAACCCATTTTCCAAATTGCCAAAATCGAAAATGAAATATTCCTATGTAAATATATTGACAAATCTAGAACTTTTTGTATTTAGAAAAAGAAAATAAATACCAGCATAATATCGTTTGTCATACGTTTGATCAAGTGGACATACACGTTCAAAAATAGTACCATTTTGTGTTATCATACTAACAGCAGAAATGAACCAACAATTACCTAAAAATTGTATTTTTTATTTGACAAACAGAAGAATAGTTTGACAAGTGCAAAAATAAACTCACCTAATTGACCTTGATCGAGATCCAATCGATTTGCTTCTTTAACAATAAATTGAGGATTTGAACAAATTTCCTAATAATCAAAATAATCAATATTAATCTTAGGAATAAATACATATATTTACATAAGGTCGTTTCCATATTACATTATCAAGTGTACGATTGAAACCAGATGTATAATATAGTGAAGATTTATTATTTGGAAATTCTGGATCATGAAAAAGATTATTGAAATTATGTTGTCGAACTAAATCTGAATAAATTTGATTTTTGTATGAATGTAATATCGTCTGAAGAATAGAATAAATGAAAAAACAAGTCATAAAATAATTTTCATTATTGAATAATACTTACTTCACCCATATTGATGAACGAGAATTATAAAAATTGATTCAATTAATATCAACAAAGAGAAAATGATATCAATATACTAAAAAGAAATAACTACTCTATTTTTCCGCGCCTTTCTATCTTATTCTTTCGGAACGCACAAGTACGATTCTATGATTAATGTTGCTTATTGTATTTTCTGTTGTAATAGGGGTTGTTCTTTTCAGTCAAGTAGATTATATCAAAGAATATTATCAAGACAAGAGATAGAAAAAAAAAACAAACGTCTTGTATTCCAGCGATAATAGTTTGTTTTTCTCGAAAAAGCGAAGGCCATATAGATACACAAAAGGTTAGAATGAAAAACAAAACGATTTAGATTGGTACTAGTATATTCAGTTGGAATATTTTTCTTCTATATGGTTTTAATCAGTGACGTTGTCAACATTTGGTCTAACATAAATAACAAATGTTTGATTGATAATACTTATTTTGATGTATTCATTTATTCTTAAATTAATGCTAACTTTTCCTAAATCTGAATTAATAGAAAACGAAAAGAAAATATTTCAACTTTCGAAATTATTTATATACATTGTGGTTTATTTCGTTTTGTTATAGACTGGAAAATCATACAAGACAAGAAATTTTATTTCGATTGTAGGTGATAGATTATAATGGAAAGAAGAAAGTGAAATTTTCTCATTTTAATTCCATTCTGTGATACGTATGTGACAAAAATTTAGCAATTTTATGAAAATCTTCTTTTTCTCTTAGTAGAAACACAATGACATAAATCTGAAAGTTCTATTATTTGTAACTGAGGAATAGTTGACTTTCATAATATAACTTAATAATAAAAGCTTTTGTATCCATAGGATATGTTGTTGTTTCTAGAAGTCAACAGTTGTTACGTTCGGTTTCCTAACACTTGTCACTGCTTACAAGTATATCTGATATGAATATCGACCAAAACATGTTTACTCTCTCTATTATTGCCAATTTACTTTGCTATGCAAGCTTTTTGAAGAAAATTATTATTATTCTTTCGTTTGTTTAGGTGATAACTATTTATTCTAGTTAGTAATGTCATAATATAGTTTAGTTCTTTCGTGGTTGTGTCAACCTGACTTATTTTATGCTGCTACTTTATACTTTTTGCAAAAATGGAAATTGTTTTAGTCCATTATGTATTGCACGCCTAGATTATTGCTTATGATGAAACCTCTTCAGCTGTCTTCTTCCGATTTCAATGATTTTTTTACCTGGAGATATAATATAGTGTTCTAATAAAAACTCTGAAAGGATTTGGTTTTCGATTAAAATTTGACTATGTTATCGAATCTTTAATATGTCTATTTTCTTGAAACCGTAGGTTTTCGAAAAATTCACATTTTTTTTTGATTTTTGATTTGAAACTTTGTACATATAGAGAACTGAACTAGATTAGTTTCCATAAAAAATTCAGAAGTTTTGAACAAAGTCTCTTCAAGATACGAGACTTTCAGAATATATGTCTTCTTCCATGAAAAATAATTATATACAACAATCATTTATTGGAAGCTTCATGTCTCGAAGACACTTTATTCAAAGCTTCTAAATTCTTTTTTTTTATGGAAACTAGTCTAGTTCAGCTCTCTATATGCACAAAATTTCAGATTAAAAATAAAAAAATGTGAGTTTTTTGGAAAACCTAAAGCTTCTAGAAAATAGACATATTAAAAATTTGATAGGTTAGTTAAACTTTAATAGGAAATCAAATTCTTTCAAGCTTTTTACTAGAACACGATATAATGTCTATAATCGAAAAATCATTGAAATCAGAAGAGGGCAGTGGAAAGAGATTCTCTCATTAGTCTGATTTGATATTTTAATTTATTATTATACAAAATTTCATAATCATAGATGAGACAAATTGTAGATCTTCTTGAAATGATTCAATAAATTTAGATTTGAAGAATAAATCAAATTAATAGATACAACTTTTTCTTTATTGTAAATAAATTAAAAATAAAATTACCAATGACAATAATGGCGTTTTATCACAATAGCAAAATGTTTACATGAAAATTTTATTTTATAGTTTATTACTATTTACGTTTACTGTTTAATTGCAAAATCAGGATTAAAATATGGATCGATGTTATCTTGTCTTTGCTGTAGTACTTCCTGTTTGATAAGTCGTATGGCAATAAATGAGAAAATGCCAATGAGCAATACAGATAATCCACCGCAAGAAAGGAGAATAATAGCTACGACAGTACTGGGCTTGTTCCATTGAGCAACTGATGGATTTCTAGTATCATACCAACACGAATATGATGAGTCAATCTAAAAAAAACAAAAGAACTTTCAACGCTATGAAAATATATGCCATTTATTCTTATAACACTTGTAAAATCAATACCAATAAGAAAAAAAAGTGTAAGTTATTCTTTGAATAACTACAGACCTTTTCAAAATAAGAAATAAAACGTTCAACATCATTTTATATCTAATCTTTATCAAGAAATATTATTGTTGATGGTATTGAAAAAAAAAGAAATTATATGAGATCATCATATATTAATTTTTTTATCATAGGTCCAGAAGAAATCAAATTTATCCTGGTCTATCCTTTCTGTAGATTTTCATATATTGTAATCCTTTTAACTATTCTTATTCATCATCTGCTATTTCTTTTGATCCTAGAACTACTTTCATTCCCTGTAGTTCCTTTAATCCTTTTAGTTTCTAAGGGTATGGGTGCAAGTGTGTATGTGAGTGTAGGTAGACAGAAAGTACACACTCACGTGCACAATCTTAAAGGAACTAAAAGGATTAAGATAGATCATAGCTAGAAGAGGTTTTTAGACTGAGATAACTTTAATTTCTTGTGGATCCCTCCTTCAATTTAACGAAAATTAGATCTTAAAAGAAGGTTTTATCTGAAAAACAAAGAATTTCATTTATTTTTATTATATATTTAGCAAGTTTCAATCGAACGTATTTTGAAAGATTTTCTATTGTGAACGAATTTTTAATAGAGTACTGACTTCAACAATAATCTTGTTGACTAATACTAACAAATATATGTTCCTACAAGGAGGTCTTTTCAAATGATCCGTTCCTATTTCAATATTTTTTCTTATACAAAGATACTACAGATAGTTTTTTAGTAAAAATCCTACAAAGATTTAAATTTTTATTGAGATTTGGTGAAGCTATCGAAATTGTGGATTTATCTGTGTGCGAAAGACTCCTATAGAAACTTATTGTTCAAAAAAAAAACATCGTTTTTCAAATTTTTGTTCTGAAACTACTTCGACTTAAAAGTTTCTCATACACTAACATGAATGAAGAGTTTCAGAATTTTTAGTTTTCGTATATTCAAGTTATGAGCTTTATAAAAATAGACATAGTTTCATCTTGTATTTCTACGATACGAAAATGTTTTAAAAAGCTCCTATTTCATGAATACTTTGTCTAAGAATTCTGAAACTCTTCATATAAGCAATTATATGTTAGAGTTTTAATTGGAAAAAAAGTGTCAGGACAATATTTTAAAATACGATTTTTTTCGAACACACGAATCTTACAGAGGTCTCTAGAAAATAGAAATATTAAAAATTCGATAGTTTCGCTAAATCTCAAAAAGAACTTAAATTCTTTTAAAGCTTTTTACTAAAATACTATGTATCTCGTTACTTATTTTTTAAAGAGATCTTATTTCGAATGTTTCCTTACTTGATATTCTTGTGCTCTTTTGAATGCATCCGAATAAGATCTAAATCGCTTTTCTTCTTCTACTATTGCGAATGTGGTTCTATTTTCTTCATAATGTACTTCCCATACCGCACCATAACAAGTGTACCGACTGTAACGTGTTTTACAGCTATACGCTTTCCATGAAGTTGAGTCAACTCGACACATGCTGTTCGCATAGTTCAACACTTTGGGATGTTCTTTTGTGAAAAAGGTACCGCCCGCAATAAAAAGAAAAATTGCACCACTAAAACTAATCGAAGCAAGGAAGATACAGACAACTGTTCTAGGATCTTTGATTTTTTGTTTGACCATCGAGAATAATTAACGAAATTGCCTAAAGAAAACTAATGCTCTGTTTGTCTATGTATTCTTTTTTTAAATATCGAATGGAATAACTGCGTCATATAATAATCATGCACTATCAGTTGACGTGTTTGATGACGTGAAATGTAATATGACAGATATCAACAAAACATACGTGTGAGAAGGCATAAAAACATGTTTCATTTCTTAATATTAACGAAAACACAAAAAGATAATGTCAACAATGCTTTTATTCATATCGTTTTTAGCAACCTTTCAAGAAAAATCTATGGAGAAAAAAATGAATATTAATGAATTTGAGTTATATGGATGAATTCGTCTTGCAGTTATGTTGTGATAATGAAAATCAATAAAACTTGACGAAATAAAGTTGTGTAACAACAATATAAAATCTCTTTCTATTCTTTCTTCTTCACAGTTTTTTTGAAAAATCAGTTGTTTAGTTTATAATAATGTCAAAATTCACTGAATATCATTAGTTTTAGAATTGAAATCTGAACGAAAGAATTCTTTCGAAAAAATACTTAAAAATTCCAAAACTTTTTGTGTGTTTTCTAAACTGAATATTTACGATTTAGAACAGAACAGTAGTAGAATTAAAATTTGTAAAACTTAAAGGATAAGTATTCATTAGCAGAAGTAGTCAACTCTAATGAAATTGTTCTTAACCAGAAATTTATCATAGAAACAAATTGTCTTCTATGGAATATCATCATCAGTAGGTTCTCATACGACTTGTGATGTCATAAGAGGACATTAAACATGAAACGATAGTTTCTCCTGAATTCAATAATATTCAATACTACAGTAAATTAACAAAATTTATTTCTATACTATTTTTTAAATTAAATGTCTGTCAATATCTTCATTTTACAATATTCAATGTTTTCTTCGTTTGGTTTTCTTGCTTGATTCTCATGCTTTCAAACATATGAATCACCTATTATAGTCTTTATATATTAAGATAAAATACTATGTGACCATGAAACAACATATCAATGACACTAACTGTTAATAAATATTTACTGTCCGTTTCTTTCGTGACGTATTATATGTCAAATCAAATATATGTTTTTCTTCCTATCGAATATTTCGGCATCCGCACTGACGATATAAACAAAACATAAGTGTAGAATAAATAATGATTGAAAAAGACAATTCAAGTTCTTCGTCTCATATGGAAGATACGTAAATGTTTTACATTAGAGAAGCTAAAGGATCTCTACGATTACCAAAGTCGCCAAGAAATTATGGAAACTAATGCGAATTAAGAACAGCAATGTTTTTTTTTCAGAACTGGAGATTTTTATTTCGTAGACAAAATTTTTTCAACTGATCATTTTTTTGCCAATTTTCATTACTTCGAAAATCGTTCTAAGCCAACTGGATCTTTCTATTTCAAATAGTATCCAGCAGCGCACGTTTATTAGACGTCATTTCGACTATGATTTCTTCTCATCAACTCATGAGATGTTAAAATATTATTTATTATGAATTAAATGTCTTCAGAGATTATAAAATGGTTCATAGATGTTGCTTTTATTCATGATAATGTGGTCAAGGATAAAAGAAAATTTAAGACTTATTACATGTTTCAATCTCCTTTCACCGCTACACAGTCACTGAACCAATCAAATGGCTGCAATTAAAGAGGTGGATACTCGGTAGATCAGATCATGTCATTAGCATATTACGCAAGCTAATCATCTATTTATAGAGTTATTTTATCAGTACCGTTTCTGAAACTGTCGTAGGCGGAAGGGAAAATGTTACGTCGTTTAGTATATATATGGATTAATTTGTCTGTATGTGAGACGCAAAAATTGAAAAGTGTTTGCCAAGTGTCACAAAAGAGACTGGTGGCAAAAGACAAGAATGAGACAAATAAGAATTGAATCTGAAATGAAGACGCAACGATATATTTAAATAAACAAAAGTTTACAAGTAGAATGAGATTGAAGAAGAGTGAAAGTAGAAGTTAAAGCAACTAATGAGTTACAAACATAAATAAATACATTGGAATGTGAATTGAGGGTAACAAAAAAAAAGAAGAAGGGAAATTATAAAGAAAAAATAATGTATATACATAGAAAATATCAAAACCGAACATAAGGGACAATTGTGCTATCAGCGGAGGTAAAGAGTTATATATGATAAAAACATTTTTGTCAGGTCATATTACTTTATTTCATAAAATTTTTGTTGATTGAAAAAAAATGTAAATTAAAATAGACATTAAAGCGTTCCAAAATAAAATTGACAGAACTAATTTCTCAATCACTGAAGATATTCAAAAAGATTTATTTCTGTTCAAATAGTACGATCACTCAATTATTATTAAGAGAGCATTCATGAGAAAGCCAAAAACCTGAAGCACTCGTTAATATTCGATTTTTCAAGAATGAGAAAAAATATTAAGTGAACTTTTTTGGAGAATTAACATAACTGAATGGGCCGTTTCTTTCATTCTGAACGCTTGACATGTCGAGAAATTACGTTTTTAAATAGTAAAGATTAAAAAGATATTTCTGAGTTTATTATTGTAGATGTGTTTTCTAGAGTTTTTCCATAAATACCAAAGTATTTATTATTGTTTTTATTCTCTGTCAAAATTGAACGAATGCTTATTAGAGAGACAAAACGAAGTCAAAGAGTCTTTATAAACAAAGTTTTTTGAATCAGCAACTATCTGTTATTTGAAATCGGCGGTATTATTTTCATTTTTAATTTTTATTCAATTTTATCAACCGAATAATGATCGACATCGGATCATTTAATATTATATAATTAAATTTCTTTGACGTTTTTCTAATACTACAGTAAAGAATGTCAAATCATTTCTTGTAAAAATTTCGTGTCTTGTCATTTCCATTAAACTATACTAATCATAAATATTTCCATATGATAATCACTGACATGATCAAGAAGTTGATATGAGTTTCACAATTATTCAAGTTTAATATATTTTAATTAAAATCATGAATAAATATTCGATTTTTATAAAAATAAATAAAAAAGATATGCATGTTACCATTTACAATATAAGCAATCCAATACAGGATGGCTCAAAAGTCACTGTACTAAACAAAATAATAATTTTTATATCACCATTATGATGCATACAAATAAGTTGACTACTTTATCGTTGATAAAGAAATAAACATGGTTCATATTCATAAGACAAACCCTAATAAACTTTCTTTAAAATGTAATTTATGATTTGAACAAGAAATTCTCATCGTTGACAGCATATAAAAAGAAATTATTGACTTCTCTAATAGCAACTAAAGAATACATTGAATTTTTTCGATTATTTCCTCATACGTTTGTCTTATAATTCTATAAATCCCAAATATTTCAATCGTAAACAACGAGAAACTATTGACAAACTGTGACATCGTTTTTCATAACTAGTTAAAGGTTACTGTTCTTCACTAAAGAGCCTTACAAGAGGGTAAGGTGGTTGGCACCCGAACCAACCTTGTGTTTGAGTATGAGTACAAAACTAGCGGATAGATTCAGAGATCTGACATGCAAAAAAATTGCTAGATCGAGTTCGATTATACTCTCCTAGCCGGTGATACTTGACAACTTGGTATATCTCGATAATCAATGATGGACCTAGTTGTTCCAAATCATTACTTATACATACAGAAATGAAAAATAATTCTAGCATATCTTAACAGATTGACATATTTGAGAATGACTAGTATAATAAAAAGGACAGATTGCTTTTAATATTCATGATAATGAATTGTATGTCGAAGGGATCTAATACACGAGAAATAAACTTGGTCATTCAAAGGGTGAAAATATGTTTTCATAATGAAAACAATCATGATGCATATTCATCATGTTAATCCTCAATATTATTTTTAATTGTAGAATCATCAAAAAATTAATGAAAATATATTCAGTAATACTGACTAAATTTTAAAATTAGAAAAATAGCAGCTGTCTAATAAATCGCTTCATTTTTTTCATTTTTTTATCTAATGTCAAATAATCTCTTAGATTGTCTAATTATTTATCCATGTAACTCAATTAGATATTTTTAAATATGAAATAAAAGTTTGGAAACATTATTATTACTAATAAAACTGGTCACTTATCGGGTACTATCGAATGGATGTCGGCTACAGCTAATCGGATCGACGTACGAAAAGCTATACTCGTACAGTATACAAATTTACTAAGATTAATAATGATACTCTATTGGAATATTTAGATTATGAATATTTTTCTTATGAATATGAACTATGAATATTGTTCTATCAATAGTAAAGACTCAAATTTATTTAGTCAAAATATAGCAAGATTATTGAACTTTTCTGTTTCTTGTAAAGTGACTATTAAAACATCCTGTATATATATATAATTCATTGAAAAACTCTATGCACCGATTTTGAGGCAAATGTATATCACAGAATAGTAAATATGACTAGAATTATGCAAAACAAAAAATTAAAATTTTCTTTCCTATCACATATAATAACTATTCAACAGAATTTGTGGTTAATGTTGTTGCTTGATCTGCAAATGAAGTATCATTTCTAAGAGAAGATGATGCAAATGTAGGTCTTGGATCGTTTGGATTATTCATTTTGACACGTGACATTGCATTCATCATCCATTCAAGTGATGCTTTCATCTTTTATATTAGATAAAAATGTTCAAGAATATTTGATAACAAATGTTAAAAAGAAATGTCTACCTGATCTAAACGATTTTCCATTCTTGAATTGTTCTACATAATCAAACAAAAGAAAATGGCTTAAAACTAATTTGAAAATATAAATAAAAGTCTATACTTGTTCTAATCCTTTTTGAGTTTCCACAAGAGCTAATTTAAATGTTGACATTAATTCATTTTTTAAATTTTCTATTATTTGTTGTTGATCTACAGTTGTTTTTGAAAGATTTGAACTATAAAAATAATAATTAAAATTCTAAAATTAATAAAAAAATAAAAAAATAAAAAAATAAAAAACATACTCAGTTGTAGGTATTGTGCTCTTCAGTTGTTCATAATTAGTAGTTAATGTATTTTTATTTTTATTATTTTCTAATATTGAACGAACATAACTATACGTTGCAGCATTTTCAAATGAATCCCATTGTTCATTCTGTGAGTCATTTACTGGAATCATTTCTATATGAATTTTTAATATGTATACATACAGTGAGTCCCAAAATTATTCAACCAGGTGTAATTTGAATTTTTTTTCGTAGCCTTAAGCGCTAGAAAGAATCCAAATGGTGATTTGAATAGAGAATATTGTTGCCAACAAGAATTTGTGAAAATGATAATCGTCATGAATTTTCCTAAAATAGGATTTCTAGAAAACCAAAACCATGGTTTTTCAACATCCAGAAGCCACGGTAGAAGCCTTGTTTTAACAGTCTAGGATTATAGAGCAGCCAATTCTCTACAAAATGAGACATCTCCGCGCTTTCTACAACATTCTCTTCAAAAGTTCTAAGCGTCACAAAAAACGAAAAAAAGTGAAATTTATGAGAAAAGCGACCAAAAACCGCATTTTTTCGATTTTTGTGATGCTTAGAACTTTTGAAGGGAATGTCGTAGAAAGCTCGGAGACGTCTCATTTTGTAGAGAATTGGCTGCTCTATAATTCTAGACGGTTAAAACAATACTTCTGTTGTGGCTTCTGAATGTTCAAAAACCATGGTTTTGGTTTTCTAGAAATCCTATTTTAGGAAAATTCATGACGATTATCATTTTCTCAAATTCTTGTTGGCAACAATATTCTCTATTCAAATTACCATTTGGATTCTTTCTAGCACTTAAGACTACGAAAAAAAATCCAAATTACACCTTGTCGAATAATTTTGGGACTCACTGTATATAGTATAACTTTAAAATAATGAAGTTTCTTTGAAACTTACTAAAAATACGTGTGAAGCTTTTTGATAGTGGAACATGATTTTCATTGATCACTCGGTTTCGACTCAATTTCGAGCAACATTTTTGATAAATAGTCAAAAAAAGTAATATGATATGTGGAATAATAATTAATGGAGGATAAGATAATGGTAAACGTTCGAAATATTCTCGTACAAATGAATAACGTTGATAACGCCAATAAAATTCTGTATTTTCTTGAACTTTTCCAATTGTATCACTAGATTAAACAAAATAAAATTATAGTCACAATGAAAATATTTATTTCGAAACATGTTAAACATTCATAATACAAAAAAAAAATCACTTTTTAATTGATAAGTATTTTTAAAGAATCTTATAAAATAACATTATACATAAAATGTGAAGCAGAAAAACAACGATCTTTGACAATGGTTAAGACTACAGCCAATAAATACTACTTAAAGTTAGCTGATAGAATTAAAACCGATCAAACAGTGACTTCGAACAGAAAATTGTCGGATAGGAGATTCAAAATATTAACTGTAAATAACTTGCTTAAAGTTAGTAGACAGCTCGATAGCATCGCTATTCGAACAACACAATCTTTTTTCTGAAGGTATATAATACATATCCTAAGGGCTCGTTTATAGTAAAAAAATAGTGAATAGATAAGTTGCGAGCACTGTTTTTCATTGACATACATTCTCAATTCATACTTACGCAAAAACGGCAATTAGTAAATTGAGTAAAAGAATGTTAATAAATAACATATGAAATGCTAATAAAACATGTGTTGCTGTCGCTTCTGCAGCATTGCCTGTTGCATTATTATTATTGTTAATTATGTCTATATATTGAAAAAAAAAAGTTCATTTTCAAATAAGTAAAAAAAAGTAATCACCATCAAGTAAATCTTTATCCGACACTTCTCCATAAATAAGCCAATATGGTTCATAAAAAATTTCACTAAAAATACCATAACCTGTAAATGGTACTTGTTTATAAAGAATCAATGATCGAGATACAACTCCATAAGCAGTTATTGCTATAAAAATCATAAAGACAAAGGCAAATAAGTCCCGAAGCTAAAATTTATATTAATATTTCAAAATTTATTATGAATAAATTTCTTAACTAACCATATTTTTTAACATAAATAATTTTGGACCTAAAAATTTTAAAGCCATAACAAATTTAAGTGTTCGAAGATACCATAATTCAAGATCAAGTGCCCAAATAATTCTAAAATACATAGAGTTCATCAGTAAATTTTCAAAATTTTCAACAAACCTTGCAGTAGAAAGTAAATCTTCATTATAACTACCATAACGAAAACCAAGACCCAAATAAAAAAGAAAATAAGGCAAAATATAAAATGTATTCGTCAACACAGTTAAAAGAGTCGATCCAGTTGAACCCCATCGTTCAAGCATGCGTGCATCATATTCTTGAAAAAGCTGTATATAACAAAACAAAGAAAAAAAACCAAACTTTTTGAAAAAAAAAAAAGATAAATTAATTTTACTTTTCGAGCTTCTTCACAAAACATAGTTGAAACAGTAATAATCACATAAATTTCAGTCCAATGAGGAATGATAAATGTATTACGATTATCTAGATGATAAAGCATCATATAACTGAATACGAGTAAAAACCATATATAACTAATCTAAATTATTTGAAAATATCTTTATTTATGATATAAAAAATTAAAATATTAACTTACAAAATGATAAGACATTTTTATTAATGAACTTTCATGAAAATATCGAAAATGTGTCCAATATTTTGTACATGGTGCTTCTGTTGAATTTTTTTCATCAACATAATAGTTTATACCTTGTTTAGATAGACTATAATTAAAATAATTCATTTATAAAATATTAACATTATGAATATAATTTCGACTCACGCATCATACTTTGTATTCTAAAATAAAATATTGCAAAAAAAAATTTCTATTTAAAAACGAAGAAAATCATTTTTTTACATACCATCAATGATTCTTCATTTTCTTTTCTATAATTGATAACCCAAGGTGCTATTAAGCCAAAAGTAAGAATTGAAGGAATTTGTAATAATTTTGCTGATGTTTGTTGATTACTCAAAGATAATTTATCAAACCATACTTGATTTAATGTTTGATCAAAACAAGCTGTTTCAAGTAATTTTACACTTTCACTTGAAATAGCAACCTAGAAAAAAAGAAAATTCTTTTATTTATCTTTTAATTTAATATTAAATATAATTAACCTGCATGCATGTAACATTACCAAAAAGTGGTATTTGTCGTAAAAGTAATTCACAAGCACGTTTCTCATTATATTCATAACATTTATTAATCGACATTGCAGCATATGTTTCAAATTCTAATGATTGACTTTGAAATTTATCTCTTAAATCAACTATTTGAGATGAGTTTGAATATTTTTTAAATACAGCTGAAGCTATAAGAGCAGCACAAATACGAGATCGAACATGTAGAAGTAAGACTTTAGCCATTTCAGGCATGTCCATAAGAATAGACCATAAAAAAAGATCACGTAACATGTGATGTTTTGTATATTTATTGTTTGTTCGATCAGTTTTTATATTACTATTTATAACATTTAATTCATAATCATTTTCAACATGTCCCGGTGATCCACAAAAAGGAAATATATGATTACTCAAATCCTTTTTAAAACGATTCTTGAAACTCTTATCATCAAAGGAATAAATTGATCCAAAAAAAGAACCCACAAATTTATTTAATTTATAATCAACTTCTGTCATTGGTTCAAGAGGTAATTTACCAAGTATTGTTATTAACCGATTTCTATGACTCTGTAGTAAAAATAATGTGTTAAATCGAGAAAAAAAATGAATCAATTAAAAAAAAACAAACCGTATTCATGGCTTTATAACTGTCCACATATAATTGTTCAATAAATTTTTGATAACTAGAAATATCATCTTTCTCGACTAAAGTTAATGGATCAAAGCCAGCTATTAAAAAATATTCAATAAATGTTGAACGATTTTTTTGAAGAGATTTCAAAAACAGGTCCTTTTGCCGTTTGACATCTTCCTAAAATAAACCAAGTATTATTGTTAGTTAATACATTTGAGATAAATATCAGTTTAAATCTAGAATAGTTGCTCATAATAATAATTTACTGTGCTGCTCTATATTTCTGTAATGTACAAGTCGTTAAGTCGTTACGACTTTTCAACTATTTGAATATTCAACTATCCGATCTGTGCTACCCAGACAGAGTGGTAAGGATTGTATCTGTCTCTGCTTGGACATTTTAACGTTGTGCGACACTCACACCCGGTGCTATGGATGATTTGCATATTCCTCTTCTATGGCACTCACACCTGTTCCGATTCCAAAAAGGTAAAATCCAAATTTCATGAATCTCAAGTTCATGTTATACCAAGTAGGTATCTGCACCCAAGAACATCTTCCGAGGATCCTTGGAGATCTCATTAAAATCAATAGTTGAAAACTTGAATGTTCGAATAGTTGAAACAACTCTTAGAGTTTTACATCTATGCAATTTCAAACTTTTAATGTTGTCATTGTTACTAAAGAGGCTGCCTTTTCATTTTGCCGATCACAAATACAACATTTTATCGTAAAGCTGCTATATTATTATATAAATTTTTTTAGGTGACTGCCAATTGTAGCGATTATAACCATCATGTTTCTTCTTAGGATAGATGAAAATAATACTAAATTCATTATGCACTATTGAACCATGGTGGAACTAACAGAAATAAACGAATCGTCTAAGAATAGTGTTGAAAAATATTAGACACAGTTTGTTTTTTTTTACAAACTACTGTATATATATGGATGATTTGCGCTACCATTGTACCGTTTGATGAAAAAATTGGGAAAAAATCAAAGTGAACATGAAGAGAACTTGAGTCGCACATTCGATAGAGCTCTATCAGTTGCATATATATTAAGTGTTTTCCCAACTGTCAGTTTCTTCATTTCGGGAAAAACTGAGTTTTCTAAAAACACTGAGTATTGTAGAGTTTTTTCGCAGAATACGATATCTACAGTACTATTTTTAAATTGTTATCAGAATTAAAAGAGAGTAAGAGACAACTCTCAATCATTTTAAGTGTTAAGGCTTCTCAATATATGTGTGAAAATGATGAGTTATAATGTCGTAATATTGAAAAAATCTGTCGGGACATTTCGATGCACAAAAATCTGTCGGGACATTTTTTGAAGAAAATATTGGTTTCTCATGAACTATGCTTGTTTATGAGCTGATATTTCTATGGTAGACTGACTACTTAGTCAGCTTAAAAAGATAAAAAAATAATCGATTAACTCCATATAGTTACCGAGAAATGAAAGAAAAGAAATTAAAAATCTGTCGGGACATTTAGTAGAACAATAGTCAGTTGTTCGTTTTATTTTTTGTTTTTTATTTGACTTAGAAGTCCATTAGGGAAAATTTTTTTTATAGAAAGATTTTTCACTCTTTAGTCTACAAATGTAAACAAAGAAATACCCATTCGGTTTTCAATTGGCTATAGTAGATTGAATTTAATCTGTCGGGACATAAAATAGCCAAAGTGTATGTCAAAGTAATTATTGCAAGATTTTGGAGATAAGTCGAAATCAAATTTATGATCCTTTGATATGGTTAGAAAGTAGAAAGTATCAGTTGCGAAACAGCTGCGAAAGATTATTTATCTAATCAAGATTTTGGAATAGCCACATAATCTTTTTGATCAAACGGCGTTAGAAATCATAGACTTTAAATTTTCTTGTTCGATGTTTGAAAGGAACGGAAGGGAAGAAAGGCTCGAAATTTTTACTGTAAGTAGGACACTAGTCTATAGTTATGTAAAAAAAGAATCGTTAAAAGTCATTCAGTAGAAGAGGAGTTATAAGCATTTTTATGTTCGGAACGCAAACGGTACAATGGTAGCGCAAATCACCCATATACACATATATGTCTTTCATTCTTTTTTTCTTTTCTCTTTCTCTTTCTTTGATGTTATATAACCTTGATCACTCTTTATTGTTTGTCCTTAAGTAACCCTTGATCTCGTTTACATATATATATGGGCAGATGTTTTTTTTATATATTAGAGATATATAGAGAGAGTGTGTGTGCAGAGTTCAAATAGTTATATCTTGTATGTGCGTGTGAGGACATTTTTGATTTTGAAATAAATAAAGAAAAGGGTCGAACATCAGACCTCTAATAGTAACAAAGGAAGGTTTTAAATATTCTTTAAATAGTTTGATAACTGTTTTTCTTCTGTTATAGATTTTTGTCTAAGTTGGTTAAATCAACATTCTATTGGCATTATTTACATATTGTCATTGTAAGTATCGTTTTAGTTATATCTCAGCGTTTTCATTCTCATATTTAGATGAAAGATAGTTGAGATCCCCTTTATTGATTCTATACAACTAGATATTTCTTCATCTATGTTGATTGGATCAATAATTGTATATTTTTGGGTAAAAAATCTTTAATTCTTAGTAGTCACTGTCATCGTGTAAGCGATGTGCTACGCGGAAGATGTGGTCCCAGTGGTAGCAGATCTCTTCCAGCCATATAGTGAAACACACACCCAAAGCTTAATCGTGTGTTTGTCTCTATGTCAGTGATTACTTCTCTTCTTCGTCCGGTTTTTCTCTAAGGGATTGAGTTTCTTGTATTTAATTCATTCGCCGAACAACTACAATTATACAATCATCGATAATATTTTCATAGATTAAATGAATTGCATACATATAGTCTTTGTGACTGTTCGTACTGGCTATCCCGTCGAATAGAGTAGGATTAGAGAGAAGTTAAATGTTCAACATAGGAACTGTATAAGCATTGAAAAACAAAACGACTCGAGAAACAAATAATTTTCATTAAAAGACGAGCAAAAAAAACAAATAAAAGAAAAAAAAAAGGAAAAACAAAACTAAAGAA